ATGTCATACATAGAAGTAAGTGTATTCATGTCATACATAGAAATAAGTGTATTCATGTCATACATAGAAGTAAGGGAGTTTCCAAAAATGGAAAGAGGTGGGCAGGGTGCCACTGTGTTTGATTTATTACGAGTAATATCTTAGCAAATAGAAAAGATAGGAGGCTCTTAATTTATATTCTAGCTTGTCAATATTGGTGATATTAGTTCTTAATTTGTCCGAAACTATAGACTTAGTATTTTGACATCACAAACATCTAATTTGAACCAGTGTTGCATTCAACATACCACATGACACACAAAATTACATATTTTTAGTAAAAACAATCAAAATAATGTCATTTTTTGTGTACATGATACTTAGGACCTTTAACAAAATCTTTTTGAGAGGATACATTATGAAATTTCAGAATTACAGTATGTATTGTTGCACAAATGAAATTCCTGATGCAGTGTTTCATAAATAAAACTATAAGGATGCATGTTTTAGATACTATTATTGTATCTTCTCACACATGAACTGCACCTACTTGGAATTTAGAGATGGACAACATATTGAATATTTAGAACTGATGAAATCCTCAGCAAGGAGGCCAAAATATCATCCATCTGATAACTACATGCACATGCAGACCATAAGAAACACAATTCTAGAACAGAAGTACTGTGAAGTATATGACTAGATCTAAATACAATGTACTGAGTAAACCAGTGATAGAATCAACAAAAACATACACAGATAAAAAAACTCATTATTATACACCAAAAAAAAAAATTCAGTACATCCTGTACTTGTGAAAATGCTAAAAATGTATAACAATGCAAATCATTAAGAACATTACAATGTCGGCAAAAATATAAAGCAGGTATTGAGCAACACAGACTAACTTTGGCATTAGAAACAGAATTGAATAGAATGAGTTTCTTAGAGTTTTCTTTTAGGCCAACTATTCTAGTTTCCAAAACAGCTTTAATAAAAATAATACACTCAAACAGAACTGTATGACAATTCAAGTTATACCTGTATTAGTTATAGATTAATATATGTGATAAAAGGTCATGCTCTTTCATCTAAGGTGCTCTATACCCAAATCCATATTTAAACATTAATTGGAAACAGCCCACCAGAATAAATGAGCTGAACTAGTTTATTCTTAACATCTAGTTAGATAATTATCAGTAATGAAGTAAGTTATTTTGTCAAGCTAAACAAATGAAACAAATACTATTGTTCCTACAACATCATGGTGCAATTTACTGTCATAACGTTGGTAGGTAATGAAACATAATAAATTTTAATGATTGTGCATTGATTAAACTTCTTGAACAGGCTACGTTCCTTCTGCTAAGACAGAAGTCACTGATTTGGCATGAAGTATGAGATACTTTCAGTTCATGCATTTTTTCTAATACCATCATCAGCATTTGAGAAAAATTACCATTAGTAACAAAGATATGTATATCAAAAGCTTTCACCCATAACACACTTCACTTTTTGAGCAAAGAATGATTGTGATGTAAGAAATATAAAAATACAACATCTAAATTATTAATATACTACTGTAAAGTCATAGTTTGAACTAATTTAAAATTTCATTGAATATATGAATAATATCACAAACTTTAAGAAAATCTTCAGAAACATGTATGATCAATACTAGTATTTTCTAAAACAATTGTTTTAAAATATTCTAGTGTGAAGTTATATAACAAAAAATGATAACTAATTCAACTTGATACATTTAACTTAATAATTTTTGCATATTTGATTGAATAAAATGATTTTACTCTGGATTTTTCTCTAGGGCTTCATGTGCTGATTTAATCCTTGTAGGAGGATCTCGTTCTCTCCATGCTGTTTGCATAACTTAAAAAGAGAAAAGATACGTTTATATAGTAATATCCATATACGGCAATTATTTTTCTTTTTTTTCCAGAAAAAAACAAAAACAAACGTCAGTTTATTTAAGTTTTTGGCCTTAGTAGTACATCAACAGTTACTATTCAACTTAAATGAGCTCTCTTTTTTTCTCAGACTGACCAATAGTATGACCATTATGTTCTTAAGTAAGTAGCAAAGTGACAAAAAATAAGAATGAGAAATGAAATTAAAGAAATTTATACAAATCAATGTGTATCTTACATAAAGAATTATACATTAAAAAAATTTAACTAATGTTAATTAGCGATACTCTGACATCTAGCTTGAACTGAAGCATGATGGTCAAACAATTATGAATTTATGTCTTGATTTATTAGTAGTATACACCTGGATTTTTTGCGAATTAAAATATTTGAAACAAGGCTAGCTTTGTTATATTCTTTTTATCAGTTATCTAACTGTCTATATACCAGTATTGCACCTGACTGCATTGGTGGATCTAATGTGCTTGAAGGCAGAAAACTTTATTTGGTAATACTAACAGTTAAGTATCTGGCAATAGTACAACTTGCTTCATTGGACAAAAATACGACTAGTTAAATAATTCAGAATGAGTTGTACAGAAAAATTTATCTTTATCACATCTCAGTACAGAGCCATACTTTTTTCTATTGTTTCTTCTATATCCAAACACTTTCCAATCAACCACCATTCCTTCATTTCTCAGAGGATTGACTTTGAATTTGGTAGGATTATACTTTGGTCCAATATGCCCAGCTATCTTTTCCATTTTTTGATTTAGGCCTTTTTAGGATTTTATGGGGTCAAAGGTAAAACAACCCAAAAATTTATATTTTGAGCTTTTGTGTGGTGATATTTACAGCAAGCACAGTGAAAATTGGCACAGATATATATTTTCATATGCCCAACACATTGATATACAAAAAAGCTAGGTCTGCCCATTGAGTCCTTTTAGGAGGTTCAGCAAAAAGCATAATTTTGGGGTTTAGGGGCAATAACTCAGCCGTATTTGGACCAATTTACATGGGATTTGGTACAAACATAATTTTCTTCAGGTAACACATATTGACAAACAAAAATGTTGGACTTCCTCATCTTTTGTACTTATAAGGGGGTCAAGATGCCACAAAAAAGCATAATTTTTGGGTTTTTCACAATTTCTCCACCATATTTGTATGGGATTTGGTACAAAGATACTTTTTTTACAGGTCCCAAACAGAGGTACAGACAATTTTGAAACATTTGTCTTCTGTTCAATTTTTCAGTGAGGAAGCAAGCATTGATATAGAAAATTCTGTATTTTTCTGTCTTTTTTTTCCCAATTTTTCTGGTGTTAAAATTGGTCATGTTAGGATTGCATGACAGAGACATGTTGTATTCACCCACAAATGTTGGTCACTTTAATTTATGTCAAACATTTAGGGATATTTCAAAAAATATATTAGGGAAAATTAGAGCAAATGTTTAGATCAACGTAGTGACCACATTCCTATAATAGCTATAAAGATATCTGGAAACAAAATGCTTGTTACTGATAAACAAAATTATCAAAATATACTTACTACATGAAAACCATTAATCTCCTGTATCTGATAAAATCAGGCTAGTTACCATCTGTCTGGAGATGTAGAAGCTGATGATGATGTCTTATTCTTACATCTGGTGGTTTTTCTGAAATTTTATTATAAAAATAACATCAATCTTACCTAAATGGCTTTTTTGTAACTCCACATCCACGAAACCACCAGTTATTTAATCAAGTCAAAGCTGACATCATCATCAGATTTACATCCCAAGATGGCCAGAAATATAAATTTTTAAATTTTAGGACTTTTTATGGTTATTTGCTAAATTTTAAAGATTTTTAAGGAGGATTAAACATCTTGGAATTTTTAGAAACAATGGAAATACTGACTGAATGTAAAGCCATTATGGCTTACTGAAATATAAATTTTGTTGCTGAATTTGATTAATGAATAATAACAACTAAATACAACATTAATAGAGTAAGTCTAGTAAAGTTACAGTTTACACTGAATGCACATATTATGGCAAATACATTAAATGGAGCAGTTTTTTAATTAATAGCTAAAAACAGATCCTATTTTAGTCATTGTTTGCAACATCTAACAGTGACTGGAATCAGCTTCTAACACAGTGATGAAATATTTCTAACTGATTAGCCATATGTAGGAATATTTATTTATAATTTAATTAACATCTTTTTGGGATGTGCCATCTCTAATACTGATGGTCAATCCTAAAATAACTGTTTGTAAAACAGTATTATGAACATTACTATAAAACCTCTACAAATTGTATGTGGTTCACTTATAGAACTTGCAAACACAGAAAAAACGTATAATTTACCAAGAAAAAACTTTCTACATAATTCTGCAACATACTTTCGTATTCTGGTTTCCCTGCATCATATTCACATGTGAAAAATGTCTGATGATCCTGTGCAGACAAATTCATATCATAGTACGTTAATGGTTCCTTTGATGATGCTGTCTGAAACCGATTGTATTCTGATCCTCGAAACAAACTTAATGGGTTTCGCCATACTTTGCATTCTGGAAAACAAAACCATGGAACTTTATGTAATTATTTAGCTTTACCTAAAGCATCTTCAATATATGATTCTAAGTAATTGAATCATTGATCTCTGAACCCTCCTGTTCATAAAAAATTGGACAAAGTTTCAATTGTTGGGTCAGTGTGTTTTGTCTATGACATGCTGGGCTGTTTCATTTTAATTTGATCAAGTTGGAATTTATTCTAAAAAGTAGGAATGTAACAAAATATATTGTTAACTGCCTCCAACCCCATCTTCCCATTATTCATTTCATAGTTTGTTCTATGTTTTATTTACAAAGTTATAAATTTAGTTACACAATGCTACTTCTGTGATGTATACAATAATAGTTTTTTTTGTTTGGCAAAAAACAAAGGTATAAACTGCTAATTAACTATAGGAATTGGGCAACAAAAACAAAATATGTTTGGTAATGTTTTTCAAAATTGCTTAAACTCTGTAGTTTGAATAGAAACTGGAGTATAGTTTCAGGTATATGAATTAACCAACTTTATAAATAATGCATGCATTGATATTAAACATAACTTGGTTTTACATTAACATATCTGTAAAATAAACCTAACTGAGCATGCTGCTGTAGGTATGCACATTTTTTAAGCCTAAAAACCTAATATGATGTGTTCTGTTTTTTTGTTTTTGTTTAAAGTTAAAGTACTACAGTTTGCAAGTCAGTAATTTTTCATCAGTGGACTAATTCTTGCAATATTGAAAATTATAATGTCATACAGTAACATATTCAGTATATCTGCAAAGTACACAACAGCTAGCAAACATTCATGTTACTAAGATACAACAGATGGAATGAACAATAGCAAAAACATTAATTACACAGGCCTGTGAATTTAAACTTCATAAAAGTTGTTTTAGTTTTAATAATAGATTTTCCATAATTCAGCTATGCAGTTTTCAAAAATAATATTCATTTTTTTCTAGCACGTAAGGATTTTTTAGAAACTCTTACTTAGATCATTTTATCATTTTGTTTACCACAATGAACATTTTTTATTATTATATTTGTTAACAAAAATACAAACAAACTGAAGAAAAGGGAAAAACATTGACGTCAAACTAACATGAATCCTCATCCATCCTGATTTTTTGGTGAAATCTATGTTTTTTAGTTTCAAAACTATGTGTTGTGGTCTTTCTTTAATGTATTGCATCTGGAGCATCTCATTTTGAATGACCAGTATTAATCAGCCATCATGCTGATGTTCCACCTTCTCTGACATCTCTTCTCCATTTCCATGATGTCTTGATGAAACCTTTCCCTTTGTTCTTTGCTGATGGCACTGGAAATAGTCAATATATGAGTGTAAGAAATGAACTTTCAAGCTCATATTACAACCCAACTCTTTGAATTTATCTAGCATGTTATTTTTGTAATTTGGATCCCTGTTGTTTCTTAAAACTTTGTCAATAACATCTTGAAAGGCAATCCATGCTTCTTTTTCAACTTTCTTCATTGTCCTTTCAAACTGTTCATCTGAAGTCAATTTCCTAATCAGAGGCCCAACAAAAACTACTTCTTTAAGTTACACTTTTGAAAGAGCTGGGAATTGCCCACCTAGATAATTGAAACAGTTGCCATCTTTGTCCAAGGTCTATACAAATTGCTTCATCGGGCAAAGTGAAGTGGAGGTAATAGGACTTTCTTTGTATCAATCAAACTTTCAAATTCAATGTTTTTCAATTCCAGTATCAGGTTGACTCTGAGTGGCCATTGCTTCTTTATCCAGTGTTCTGCTGTCCCATTCACACAAAAACATGGAAACTTTGTATAGCTGGATTGTTGACCCAACAACATACAAAGGACTTTTAAGCCTCCACAAAGTAGCTAACCATGTTCTTTGTATTTGACTTTATTAAGAAGAAGTTTGAGGTTTTCGTATGTTTCCTTCAAGTGAACTGAATGAGCAATAGGAACAATGCATATATGTTATCATTGTGAAGGAGAACACCTTTTAGACTTCTTTTGGAGGAATCAATGAACAATCGCTACTCACTTGGTTCATAGACTGTAGCTTCTAGCATTGGTAATAATTCAATAATATTGTTGCAATAAACCAATGTAACTTCTTGCAAAAAGTATGATATAAACTCTTTCTCACGATTTCTGTACCAATAAAATTATGTCTCTGGAGAAAGTAAGTTCTTAGCCCGAAGTCTGGACCCCAAAATCTCTGAAGAACCCTTTGGAAGGCTCAAATTTCTCTCCAAATTATTAAGTTCATCTTGTGTGAAAAGTTGTGGTTCACCAGACGTTTCGGGTTGAAAACAAGCCATATCATCATTTCTATGGACATCAGATGAAACTGTGTCAGGAGTCTCCAGTGGAGTAGGTACAGGTACATCAGGTCCATCAGCAACAGGTCTTACAGCAGATTGAAAGTTTGGATAAGAAATTTCCTTTTTATTTTGAGAGTTGCAGCCTTGCACATTATATGAGCAAAAATAGCAGTCATCTCCATGTTTTCTAGACTTACACCAGACCACTGTTATTTCAAAAGGCAAAGAAATTTTCTTACCTTTAGTCCATTGTCTAAACTCTTCAGTATAAATGGTGCAAACTTTGTGCAGAGCCAATGATTTGTCTTGGTCCTCAAGTTTTATTCCAAAATACAAGTAATACACTTTCTTGATTAATTTTGTAATGTTTTGCCTTTGTTTCCTTACAACAAATATATAGGAATATGTTTGGGTCATTTACACAACCTTTTGTTGTCATAGCGAT